AGTGCGCTACGCGCAACTCTGGGAGCGAGGCGCGCGATTTTTCACACGATTCTCTGAGTTCTACACGGCACGATTTTCTTGCCTTGCGCAACGGGCTTCGTCGAAAAAGAGGGACTGCTCGTAGTCAATACGATAAAAAAACAAAAACTTATCGCAAGTGAAGTTTAACTTGAGGTTAGTAACGCTTGTTTACATAAGTTCTCATTGACCCCTTGGTGCTGTAGAGATTTATCCTAGAGAAAAGAGAAAGGAACTTCTCGCCAGCTTAATTACATTCAACCTTTTTTATGAAGTATATACGTTTAGAGAGCAGGAATCCACCGATGCCTTGTAAATGAAACCTGTTTGGGTGCACCTTATGAGCACGGAAAATCTAATCATAAAATAAAAGGCTGCAGCTTCCTTTTTGTCTCAGAAATTATGGCAAAAATTTTTTAAAGTCTGTTTTGAAATCACTTCACTTCTTTCAGGGCTTCAGTGAATCAAATTTACGGTGTAGTTTGCGAAATGATGTTTAGATTTAATAAGACATTGCATTTCTTTTCGCATTTTCTTTTCTTTCAGAAGTGTTGGTGGTCCAGATTGTTGGAGAATGTTGTGTAATTTGAGTGTCAATTGTGACCCACTCGACACCACAAGGTATGACGGGAAGAACACAGTGGTCAAACGTTTGGCGTGCGTGAGGGGATCAATTCTGTTCGGCTGCGCGCCAATTTCCCAATTTCCCTCGAAAAATTTCAAAGGAAAATATAGCAAAAAAAACCAGTCTCACAAAATAAGCGAAAGAAAAAATAATTTTGTTTTGAGCTTTACCAAAAATGTTAGACTCTTTAAACACCATGACTTGCTGGCTTGTGTGATTGTTTGTAACTCGTGTGAGAATTCTTGATTCTGACAGCCAGAAAACACGCTAATTACTCATTACAGCGTTCGCATATGCGCAGACGTTTGACCGCTGTGTTGACAGAGCCGTGTGTGTCATACCACGTTACGTAGGTTAGGCAGAAGAAAACAACGCTTAGGGTTAGGAAAGGAGACCTTTTCGAATTGAAGCATCATTACCTCATTTGGGAGTTTAAGAAACGACGAAGGCGACGCCATCGACGAAGTCGGTTTAAAAATGAACTTATACTTTACCTCCGAGTCTCACGATACTCTAAAGTCACTTTAGAAACTGAACATGAAACACAGCGTTAAATTAGAAATAGAAATTTACAAAATTAGCCGTCGTCTTTCACGTTCTCCAGACAGCGTAAAGTTTGGTCATTCCACGTTGTTGATTTTCAGAGGAAGCAAAGAAATTTACAAAGATTTTTAACGCACGTGCACAGCCATTGTTCTACTCATTAAACCTTTTTGTTTAGTGACGTTTCCGTTGTCGTTGTCGTCGTGGTTTTCTTAAACTCCTTAATAATAAAATGCACCTGTTTTCATATACTCGTATTCAAAGTAAAGTGTTTTAGCGTAGGAGTAGCAATCGATCGGGTATTCTGGTCGACCGAGTGAAGGTAGCCCCGAGAGGGACTCTTGTCGGTGATAATGAATGACATTTTGATAACCCTATCGGAAGTCATCATCAGAGCCAAATAAAGATTAGGGATCGATGTCTTACATTAAACTTTAAACTTTAGGGAGAGGGTTAGTGCGAAGTTGATACTGACATTGATCCAGAATTTTTTTGTCAGCCGAGTGCAAGAAAGAATATTGGGAAACAGAGGAAATTTTCTTTTCCAGCTCAAGGATAAAATATTTTTGTCTTTGATAGATGGATCGATGACGGACGACTAACAGCAAATGGATTCGATATCTGTTTAAAAAACGGTAAGGCTTTAGGAATAATTCCTAAGAAGTATAATCACGAGGACTCTTTTGGTACTCAAGAGGGCATAATTTTTTTTATGCTGATTGAGCCTTTTTTACTGTTTGCGACAACGATTCATTGATTGAAATTTAACTGAATGAAGCTGTTTAACGTTGTTAACGAAATATTCATTGAACCTATTGATCAGTTACGTTTGTTTCCAGATGTTGAAAGTGGACAGACCAAAGTGGAGTTACATGGAATATCTACTAGCATACCCTTTTATGGAGTGCCAGATTTAGTAGAAGTTCTCGGTAAGATGCGACCTCACAGTTTACCCTGTAATCCGTCATCGTCTTTGTCACGAACCCATAGTCTTGCGCCACGTAACTTTGATTTAGTCGTATCTTGTGTACGTATTTTAAGTTTAAGAACATTCTACATACCTCAAGCTCAGCTTCAGTTCAGAACGTGTTAATTTGTTCCGTTGTTTGTTTTGTTTTTGTTGTGGTTGTTATTGTTATTTTGTTGTAGTTTTTCGGTTATTGTTGTTGCGCCTGAGCTTATTCGGGTCTCCGCTGCATTAAGCGACCAATGGTTTTGATACTCCCCATTCCCCTCCTCACGCGGTGCAATAAAGATTTATTCCCCACCTCTCCTTTCTTAATTGGATCTCATAAAGCCTACACAAAATGTAAGAAGGACATTTTTCTGTTCACGTTTCCTGTGAACTTCGTTTGTATTTGTGTCACCTGCATTTATTATTTACACATATTTCCTCTCTTTCAGAGCTTATTTGTGAAAAGGACGGCGGCGATTCCAATTCTCTGTCAAAGTGCCGACCTTTTAAAGTTATCCACTATCTCCAGGTATTGCATCAGTTTCTCAATAAAACATTTCATACAGGAAATAACGGAAACGCGATTCACGCGCGTGAGACATTAGGACGCCCTGTTTCCTCTTTGTTTCTTCCTAGTGCATTGGTTTGTACAGTACATTTTAAAAGAAAAGTATATCAAATTTCCTAAGCACTTCAGACTTTTGTTTAATATTGAAACATATTTTCAGGGTGAAGCGGTTCGCGTTGCTCGTTCGCTCAGTTCCCGGATGAACAGAAGTGAAGTGGACGAGCTACTATCTCGGATGGACAAAGAAATTCCTCTGGATTTGAGAAAATGTGTGCATGATCGTCCATTTTTTTTAACAATCGCGCAAATCCCGGAATGAAACAAATTGTTTTAAGAGAAATCATTCTAGTCTTTCAACAGTAAACTATGTCTGCGCTTGTTTCTTTTGAGGAAAGCAGCCATACATGTAGAAACAAAAGACACATACGATGGTGTAGTTTAATCGTCCGGGTGACAGTGGCCCCAAAAAGGACTTCTGTTGGTAGTGGTGACTGACGTGTCGGCAACCGTAACGGAAGTAATCATCACCAGAGTCGATTGAAGAGTTGTTGTCAGTCGAGTGTGATGCGTCCAGTTCGTGTGAACGGGATAGTCAGTTTAGCCGTAATGTTATTGGCTATAAGATTCAAGTGGTGTAAGTCGGTCGAGATTGGTATAATGAGGTCGTTCTGTTCGGTTCGCTGCTTGAATACATGTCGTGAATACCGTGCAAGTAGTTTGAATAGTGCCGGTAGTGACACCTGTCGAGGGGGAGTCTGTTCTTAGTTACTGAACCAGCTTTCCAGAGTCATTCGTTGAAAGACGCGAGTGCTGTAGGCTGTAGGCTAAGCATTACGCAGAGTCTCAGTTAATAGCGGTGAATCGACATCAATATTTCTATTCTCTCGTTTGTCTTCAGTCAGTCTTATTGTGAGGTTCCTTCCATTGTTCAATGTAGGAGGGTTGATAGTCGGATCACTCAGGGTTAACATCACCCGGACGATTAGACTACACGATAAGGTTATTCTCCCCACCCCAGGATCATTCTCCTCTCTTAATATACATCTCATGATATACAGAGAATTTGTAATGATTTGTCATGTCACTCTTGTGATACAATTTATTCAAGATAACCTTCCAAGAGACTAGATTTTAGCATTCCAACACACTTGCTTCTCACTGCGAAACTCTTTCGAGAATTACACATCAGCAATGACAGAGGATTATCCTCAGTTTATAAAGTTTCTGGAATAAGAGAGGCTGGTTAGCTGCCGACGCCCTGCTATCTTTGTTGAGATTCCATTTCCAGTCTGTGAGCCTTCACACAAGCTGTAGAGCAGTACTTATGCGTGAGCCGCTCAAAGGGAACTTGGCCAACCAAACTTTTACTGCACCACGCACAGCTGCAAGATGATTCATTGTTTTTGTTGAATTTGGGGGAAAAAAGACAATGTAATAAATACAGAAGCCTTGACTGTGCTCTGTTCTGTTTTAAAGCACGCAAGAAGCGGCTAGATCACGAAAGAAGTGTGGGGAGAAACACGAAACGCAGTCCCCACTTCTTGAATGCCCTAGTCGCTTTCTAAGTGCTTTACAGAACAGAGCATAGTCAAGGCTTCTCTACTTGTTTTATAATAAAGAATCCGTTAACTTTCCCACGCATTACTTTCAATTTTCATAACAAACTTCACTTCCAAGGCGAACAACAGTGTCGTAAGCATGCTCTATACTCTGACAGAGCACGCTGTTTCAATTAATGAAAGCGCGCGTTATATCCGAACTTTACTATAAACAAGATTAAGTAATTAAATCTGAATAACCCACAGGATTTGAACCTGAGGATTTACGATTTCGCGGTCGGTGGTTTACCACTGAGCTTAAGAAAACTCGTGAAATTTGAATTGGATGGTGGTAAAACAACAGATTTTGAGCGTGGGTGGAACAAAACTACTTATTCTAAAAAGCTCACCTAGAGGTGATCCCTGCTTGTTTGGCTGCCTGTTGTTGAGCGAATCTTTTCTCGGCTGCAAGGGCCCGCTACAAACAAAGAAAAGTAACATAATAAACAGCGAACTGATGAGCACTAGATTCCCCGCCCCTATCCAATGGGTCCTTAATTATGTCTGACGAGGAGAGAGAAACGATAGCGACACTTTCTAAGTCGTTTCACGTTATTACAGCAACCTAGACACAAGGGCTGTATACCCGACTGGTACAAGTGCTTCAGTGTTGACCATACCCCAAGTTTTCTTGTTTTCAGACTCTCCTTGACCTTTTTCACGAAATATTTTTTATGTCTATCATGGATAGTGGTCGAAATCATCTAAGGAAGATGTTTCTTAATTTGTTGTTGTGAAAAAAAATATTTTTAACCATCCTCCACGCGTTTCTCATGACCTTAACCCATTAACTCCCAAGATCTGATTGTCAATTCTCCACTCTGGCTGTTACAGATTTCCTTGTAAACTAGTTATGAGAACTTGGTGTTAGATGAGGATTACAAAAATCTACCCGATGAGTTTGAGTATTCTCATTACCTGTTTGCTGGATAATGTAGGGGAAATTACAGGGAGAAGTTTCATGTTTATCTCTAATGGGAAGTAAAGGGTTAAGTAGCATCCATAACTTCTCAAGTCTTAAAAATGATGTCGTACATTTTTATCTTTTATTTTTTCGTTAATCCTACCTTCTCTCGGTCGCTTAAAGCTTGATATGCTCTCTTTTCTTTTTCCTCCTCTTCTTTCTTTCGCTCAATAGCCTTTTGTTCCTTTAAATATAAATCAGCCATTATTTAATACATTATGTACGTCTCCTAAGTTTCGCCTTGTTAATAGCTTTCAAATCATACAGGATAGATTTCGTCAATAGTCAGACCACTCGACCATTCCTTAGAGTCGCGTGATTAAAAACGGTTATTTTACTAAAACCACAACTTGATCGCAAAACAGTCCATTACTGAACAAGACAGGTGATCTCTTCATTGCTCTACCTTGGCCCTCTGTTTTTGCGCCTTTTTCTGCGCTTTCTTTCTTTCTGCATTCCGTTTCTCCTTTTCATTTTCCATTTCTGGTGTAAGTGCACTTGGAATCTACAACAAAACAAAAAAAAGTAACAAAAACAACACATCAAATAACGGAATTAAGAAAACCCCGTAATCAATACAATCAAACAAATCATGTGAATGTTATCGATGGTCGTTTAGCAATTAGCGAGGGACCCAACTTCTCTCTCTCTCTCTCTCTCTCTCTCTCATAAAAATTATCTGATGCACAGCTGTTTTCATATCCGCGGTGCAAAGTTATCCAAAACGTACCCTTAAAATTCCCTAGGACGCCTTATTCAGGTAAGGTAACAACAACTGTTATAGGATTTTATACAGAATAAAAACCAACCACGAACGAAAATGGCAGGTGCATCAGTCGGGTGCACCCCAATAAATGGCCTAAAAGAGAGCGAATCGTGTGGTACGCGTTCAATCCTACGCTGAGTCACTGTGTTTCGGTCGTTTAGGCACTCTTAAATTGGAAAAATCGTTTTCACACATGACATCACGGCGGCCATATTGGTTTTAACACAACAGAATGGCGGCGGCCATGTCGATGTCCGAGGCAGTCCTGGGAGAATTGAACTCTTCCCTTATGTAAACAGCTTTTAAGAAAATATTATTTACAAAGCTGCTCACCACGTGATCGAAAATGTAATGTTTCAAACCTGTCGAAGTGTTGGAATAAAAGGTGCCATGGACTGTCAGTTCTCCTATTCGCCAGAATAAGTTTCGGCAACCATGTGAGTTTGACAGTCTCGTGCGTAGACTTGCCTCTTTCATGATACAACAAAAGAATCACTGAAGAAACCGAGCTCTGCACAAAACATACCTGTGCTTTAACATAATCATAACGATCTGGGTGGCAAGCCATAAACCGTCGGAATTCATTCCGTGTTTCTTTGTCGCCGGCGACTGCATATGGAGTCCTCCCCTTTTCATCCCTGACGATAAACACAGCAATTGTTATCTCTTTGTGGTGCATTTTTCGGGCTTACAGAGAATTTTGACGGCCAAATATGCATTTTAGCCCAACCGCAAGTTCGCGCGATTGTTTGGACTGTATTGTTGGCAATTTTTTCAGTTTTTGTTTTATCAATGCCCTTCAAAGTGATGTAATGGTAATACATGATCTTCACAGTTATGATAAGTAGTAATGCAGTTCATGTTCTTGCGTATAATGGTGTTTTGGGTTGTTCTCAGAGTCGTTTTAATCCTCTACCATTGGTTCGGGCTCAAATGACTCTGAGTAGGGCCTGATTCACCTTAAGCCCGCGAACATAAACTCTAATGTTTTATTAATCAGATCAGGTTTTCCCTGATCTGATTCAGATCATCTCGATGCTTCACAAATCCTAATCTCTCTAGTTGGTCAGCGGTGGTATTCTCAGAACCAACGGACAACCTTCTAATAAAACATATCAAGGGTACGCTACTTGTCCATCATTAGAGCCACTTACTTCACAGCAGGATCAGAACCACACTCCAGAAGCCGCAACACGATTTCCCTTCGTGACGAGCGTGATGCTACGTGAAGAAGCGTGTCACCTCCTTCGCCAAACTGTTCATTGATAACGTCCAAAATCCTTGCAAATTCATTACTAATCCCTGAACTTGCCAGTTCCTCGATTGTATCAGTTTTCGTGCATTTTACACTCCTATTAATATTAGAGTCAGTTTTCAAATCATCACTTGTCTTATTTCCTTCATCCTCACTTCTTACCGAATCGTTAATTTCGATTTCTAATACACCAGACTTCGTGGTTTCCTCCATACTCTCATTTTTTTCCTGAAGTACGCTTGCTGACTCAGTGTTTATACAAGCTTTTCCGTTGCTTTGGATACTTCCGCCAAGAAGTGAAGAAATTACTCCTATATTTGCAGACACAATGGCGCAGTAAAGCCGATTCCATGAGCGCCTCTCTGGGGAAACTGAAAGAAAAAATATAAAATTATATCTATTACAGCATGTAAGCAACCCTAATTTTAAGGCAAACATTTATTCACACAGTCATTATACACTACCATGCAGAGAGAGTGAAAGAAAAGAGTTATGAACCAGAGTCGGGATGGGTATCGAATGATGTGACGCTGGATTCTCCGATTTAACTCTCTCTACTGTTCTCTAAACATTTCCTAAGTTTCTGACAAGGAGAATTTGTCTTACAATCAAGAGCTTTTTTCATAGGTGATCAGTTCCTTAATTCTCCTGACCTAAATGTTAGATTCAATAATGATATGGTATGGAGAAATTAGATGCCATTCACTCTTAAGGATTAAGAGTTAACATACAAGGAAAAGTAAGCCAGGCAAAAAGGTGAATTTTGACCATTTACACCTTAACGTCAGTATGCATCTTCTCCCTACTATTCTCCATAGAATTCCCGTGGTACTTTCAAGGATAATTTTGTTAACAAACAAGAGCTTCTTTAGATGGCACCGGATCGTTTCCTTAACTCTCGAGACCTTTCTATTTCAGCCGGGGATTATAATTTAAGGAGAAATTAGCCAGTTGTCAATCCCGGAGGCTACAGGGTTGAGTCCGATGTAGGAATAGAGCTAAAGCGCCTTCAAACTAACCTTCTGCATTTTGAAGCCCATCAACGGACTCCTTCTTAATATTTTTTGCTTTCTTCTTTTTCGTTTTCTTCGGCGCTTCTTGAACTTTTGTTGTAGAACCTGAATCAGGCTGACCTTTATCACTGCGTTCAAGTGAAATGTTTCGTTCTTGAGGGTCAATTGCTGCCTCATTGTCGCTGGCGACGGCCTGACTTGCCTGCCATGAACGAATTTTATCGCCGTCGTCAACTGCTGGTACATTTTCCTTTGCTTTATTATAAGTTAAATTCATTAGAAGGTTTTGTAGTTCTACATCACTGTCCTTCCCTATAATAACAAGAAGTAGTTGTTCCCTAAATGTCTTGAGCCAAATGCGCAACGACAAATTCTTACCAATTGCAAGAGGAAAAAAAAAGTCTCACCCAGCAACTGCACACTGGACAACTCCTGATGGACTCGCTTCACTTCGTTGAATGTCGGTCTTCTGGTTGCGAATGGGATCGTTCTGATGCGCGCATCATCTAAAGTAAGAAGTTGACCCTTTAAACCCCACGAGCGACCAAGACAGAATTTCTTCTTACAATATCAAGCAGATAAGTGATGAGAATAACGAAAAATATTAATTAGGGGATTGATAGTTGATCTAATACCAAAATCTCCGAATTAACATCGTAAAAATTGTATGGCAGAAGTAACGAGAATTTTTTATTAAGTCGCAACGGTTGCTTGTTTGTTCATATCGTTTCACTCACAAGTGGAAATCTTACTTTGGACCGTACCTCTCTTGAAGGGTGGTTTCCTTCCTCCAAAGAACATCGCTTTGTTATAAGCTGGTGTTCGAATGAAAATCCTGTGGCATTTTTCCACGTGCTGTGACCACGCCTCGAGGAGATCCTGAACCTCCTGTTTTTAAGAATTTTGCACAGTTCAATGTACAGTCCCGTTCTATTGGTCATGATATGATAGTTGATGATAGTTTAAACTATCACGCGTATTGGAACACGAATTTTCATGCACAATCATCGACTATCATCGACCATCATGTAGTTTGGACAAGTTCAAATACATTTTCTGAAGTCATGACAAGGAAAATTTGTTAAACAATCAAGAGCTTCTTTAGCTGATAATCATTTCCTTTATTCTCGTGATCTCGTGATCTTAATGTGTGATTCTGGGTGATAATGTACGGAGAAATTAGACGCTAGTCACTCTTAAGGGGTCAAAGGGAATACCTAGAAAATGTGT